TGCTACTCTTTTTCTCCTTTGTGCTTCCTTTGTACCGTTAGGGACTAGTGAACAGAAAGGAAAAAGAGAAGAGGAGAAACGCTTCCCCTCTCTCGCTCCCATTCTCCCTCTTCTGTCTCCAATTAAAAACGCAGGAAGCCCGTGACTCAATACTGCAATGTAGTATGATATGAARCCTAGGGTCAAAAAGTTTGAGACAAGTCGTAGTTCGCACGCGTCTAGTTCAAGCACAGGGAGCCCAAGCAATGACTTTTACTGGCAAGGTAGGATTCTGTCTTGAGCATCAAGTCGCGCAAGAAAAGTCGTAACAATAAGCATCCGTTTCGGTGCTGCATAATATTGAATTAGTAGAGTGAATTAGTAGAGGAAAGAGAACGACGCATACATACCCTAAAGATCAATTTTATCTCCGGGTCGCCAATTCCAATGAAAGGATGGAAATTCTGATTGGCATTTAGATGCCCTTCGCCCACTGTTGTTCCATTAAGGGTAAAACATACTGGTAGTTTACCTTGTGYTACTTTGTCATACATTAAAACACAACCAATCACATCTCCTCTATGCGCCATTTTTCCTAATACAAATAGATTACAATGTATGAGAACCTCATTCCCGGGTCCTGGCCTTTACTGACCCAAAAAACTTTCCTTCTGCATCCACACGGAGTTTTGTACACTATGGTTAGAACAAGAATTGTGATTTGATAAAATATCAAAGAGAGACAGGCAATATAAAAAGAAGTAAAAAAAGCGAAGAACAAATGAAATAAAATTACAAATGTGAGTAACGCGAGAATAAGTTAAGATGTGCTACAAATATCATGCTGCTTGCTAGTTAAAACAACAAATGTGCCGATAACAGAGAGCTGCGGTAAAATGGATCGCAGAAAAGTTATTTTAAAAGTTAATTTACTTTCATGGACGAAACACATGATAAACATGTTTAACCTTGATATAAATGTGCTATTTATACATATTATTTCATACAAAAACAATTAAAAAGTACAAACCTGTTTCTTTTCCTATTCTTTTGTTATCATCTTCACTTGTGTCAAATATCTTCCCGTCATCCACATGGAACGCTGCGGAATTCCCTGTCCATCCGGGAAAGCTGTTTAGATCGTACTGTTTGTCGGCCACTCCTATTGCTATGTACCGCTTTTGACCGCTCTCTTTGATAAGAACCTTGGGTAATTTGAAAAAAGTAGAATTAAAACAGTAAAAATGCATAATGGAGAAAATACATACGTCTGTCATGAAGTCGATCAATCGAGATCTATCAATCAATCGATCGATCGATCATCAGAATCCCAACCACCTAGGCCAACCCCCTTATATATGACCATACCCTTCGTAATGCGACCGGCATCAAGTTACCTCAAATCCTGGTCTCTCTTTGGAAAGAGGATGGCAATACCTTGCACCAAGCCTTAGTAGTTGAGACTGATTTTGAGGACTTGGTGWAGAGATAAATAACTGTTGTCCATCAACGCAAAAATCTTGAGCAAAGTCCCAATGCTAAGAGAAAATAATMAAAAATTATGATTAATACAGTAGAATATCCAACTAATAGGGACAATAATCACAACAATAGCAATGTCAGAATCTAAAACTAAAGGTGTTATAGGACGGCGTCGTTGTTGGCAATCCCAACGACAACGGCGAGCCTTGTACCGCAAGACTTTTATTATTTTTATTCCTATTTTGCCAGCGAGCGAGGTAACAAACATTTTGTCACCAAATTACGCGCKTTGATTGGCCAAATATATCGCAGCCAAGATGGCGGCCGAGCGATAAACCGACAAATTCATTGTATAAAACTGCGTTCCATAGTTGTTGTGACGGGATAAAAAATGGAATGAAATAAAGAAACATGCAGAACCCTGTATAACACGTTTGCATTTTACGTTTCTTGTAAAGAAAATTATAACAACGCCAATAACCTAAAAAAGATATCAAATAACGACACGACTAACAGTTATCCACTGACCTGATCRTTGAGGCGTTTAACATCTTGTCTGAAAACATTCTCAGCGATATGTCCAGAAAGATGGCGGTTACCCTCCGTTTCCTTCAATACAAGATCCAGCTTGTTACCATCTGTAAAAAAAAAGTGTAAATTTTTTTTTATCAACGAAGCTAGAGGGGGCTTTCCCGTGCTCCGTTTGGTTTTGACAAGCGACGGAAGAGCGAGCGCAGAACAAAGGCAAAAAGTTGCGCTTGCGTTGCGTTTCGTTTTTACTATAAAAATCAAGTGCAAGAGCCAGAGCAAGCGCAAGAAAAAGGGAAACATTTTGATATCTTGCGCTTGCTGCTACGCTTGCTTTATCACAGCGTTGGGAGGTTTTCAYTATGAAAAAAGTCCTCTTGCGTTTGCGCTTGCTTCTGCGCCTGCTCTTGCGTCTATAGTGAAATCCAGGCTTAATTAATACTAAGAGTGTGAAAGATTTCTGGGAATTTCTGTACGATTGTCTTTATGGAAGGCTTTAGRGTCTCGAGGAGGGTGTGCATATGGGATGTGCATCCCTTGCACCCATCGACTGGTTGGAGCACCGCTCCATTTATTATATCAGAAGGCCAGAAGAGGGAGCGAGGAGCGAGAATGGGAGCGAGTCCCTAGCGTTCAATATGACCGTTACAAAGGAGTCCCGAAAGAGGAAAAAAAGGTTTGCCCGGATAGAATGCAAGCCTGATATATAATTTGAATCAGGCTTTTGTCAGACTTACCAGTTAATGGAAAGGAATATCCATATTCTGCAAAATAGTATGATTCGAGACGACGAAGGAGACGCAGAAATTCATCTGAAAGTTTATCTTCTTTTTTCACAGCCCTTAGAATATCACAGYCCGATTTACAGCAACAGCAGTTAAAGAGGAGACAAATCAATGAAATGATATTAAAAGGCACTGGTACTGGATGGTATTGACCATATGTTCTTATTGTACGTGCTTTTCTATACGACCATTCGTGGAAGGCATGGTCCTGAAATGAAAAGAATAGCAAATGTAATAAC